GACCAATGAACAGATACCAAAAGAAAAGAATGTCCACACCTTTATCTCAGCGGTTCTGCCAGGCGTCTGTGGCCGCTCCGCTCCTTTCCCCATGTGGTCTCACCCAAGATGGCGGCTCCTGGAGCAGCCAAGTGTCCCGGACTAGAAAGCAATAGATTTCTTGCTTTGCCACAAATTCCCCCAGCTGTGAGACTTCCAACCTTCTAAATATTCCATTATATGTGATTCAGCGTTCTGGGACCATCCCCTGAGCCTGCTTGGCCGGGTATTCTGTGTTGTTGTTGGCGGAGCGCCTTTACTGCACTTCCACCTGATCCGCGATCTTGTTTGTTCCTCCGCTTTGCTGGGTTTAAAAAAAATTTTTTTGGATGGAAAAAGGCGTCATGTTTATTCATAGGGATAGGTGTGTATTTCCAGGAAATGGCCCTTTTTAGGAGGAGTGATGCTAACTGGGGAGTCCTGGTGTGGCACTGTAGGATAAGCATGAGACCACAAGTCAGTTGGAACTGTTAGGTTGGTGGTTCAAACTCACCAGGTGCTCCTTGGAAACTGTATACAGGTTCGCTATGAATTGGAACCTACTTGAAAGCACTTAATAACAATAATGGGTCCTGGTGTGGCACTGTGGGTTAATGCGCCAGACTGCAAAGCCGTTTGAACTGCAGGGTCAGTGGTTCAAGCTCATCAGCTGCTCCTTGGAAACCCTAGACAGGTCGCTTTGGCTTGGAACCAACTCGAGGGCACTTAACAACAACAGCAATAACAATAATATGCTAATTGGGTACATGCACAGCATTTTTACAAGATGGATTCCACTGCGAAAACCTCTGGTAGGGACAGACAAAACTTAGGATGGGATGTCACACATATATGCTTCTTCGTATTCCAATTCCAGCCCCTCTCAGGGACTGGTGGTCTCCATCTTCAAGAAAAGTTCATCCTTCATGGTGGGTAAACCCAGTGAAACTGTAAAAGGAAGTAAAATACAGAAGTGTTCTGGTGGGCTGTGACAGTAAGCAGGCTGTAAAATGTGTGGGGATTTAGGATTAATGCTGTCGTCCTCCAAGACTCCGTGTCTCTGGGAGACTTGAAGAGGTAAAGTAACCTCAGGTGGACCCATCATAGCTGCTCAAGGGGCTTCTTTGTGGGGGATATATGGAGCTACAGTTCTTAGAAATCATCTGTTGCTGAGAATCCATTCAATGAACATTTACTGAGTGCCTACTGTTATATGTTCCAAGCACTGGGGTAGGTGCAGGGGATACAGTGAAGAACCAAAGAGACCCCCTGTCCTTGAGACAAAGTCGGCTTTCCTGGTAACTTTTTCCATGAGGCCCCTGCCTTACTTGTTACATAACACTGCTAGATTAATTCTCCTAAAATACCACTTTTATTGACTAATTCTTCTCATAATTTCCCCAGTATACTCACCTTTCTCCTCTTGTTTATAGGTGGAAAATTCTAGCATTCATTACAAATACTGTCTGGCCCCAACCCACCTGTCCCTTAATTTTCTCTGTGTACTTTCTAATGCCATTTTATCATGACGTTTACTATTCCTGTAATGCCAAATTGAAGAGGAAGGGTGTGGTATTCATTGTCAAAAAGAACATTTCAAGATCTGTCTTGAAATATTATGCTGCTTTTTTAATGTGTTAAAGAGCAGGGGTCAGCCTGACCCAAGCCATGGTGTTTCAGTTGCCTCCTATGCATGTGACAGCTGGACATGAATAAGGAAGACCAGGAAAAAAAAGGTGATTTAAGGTGTTGACAAAGAATATTGAAAGCACTGTTGACTGTCAAAAGAACAGACAAGTCTGCCTTGGAAGAAGTACTTGTGTCTTAGAAACAGGAATGGTCAGACTTCTCTGTTCCTTTGGACTAGTTTAGGAGGGATCCATCTGTGGAAAAGGACCTCATGCTTGGTAAAGTAGCTAAAAAGTTGAAGGCTCCGCACAAGGAGATGGATTGAAATTCTGGTTGCAAGAGTGGGCTTAAGCTTAGTAATTGTGAGGATGCCTCAGGACCTGGCTGTGGTTTGTTTTGTTGTACCCGAGGTCAGAATTTAAAATAATCAACTCACCACTTCCATTCTTTTGCCAGTGGCATGTCTTCAGCCTTGAATAGTCCTCCTTCTCAAGTTCAACCAGTTTTTCAAAGTCGGATCTACTCTAGTTACCACTAACCCTAAGGATTTGGATCATAAGCTCCAGCTGGCATTGATTATTTCCTGCCTGCCATTGCTTTTATTTTCTTCAAAAAACATTTGTATACTTGAGAGGCATGTTAAAATCTTGAGTAAATTAACTTCTCTGGGTTTCACTTTTTAAAAAGAAACATAACAATACCTCAAAATGTTATTTTGAGAAATAAGTGAGATTTAACATTATAAAGTCTTTAACACAATGCTTGGCATATTTTGTTTTTATGTGCTTTTGAGTCGGTTCCGACCTATAGTGATCCTGTATAGGGTTTCTGAGGAGCAGCTGGTGAACTTGAACCACTGACCTTGCAGTTCAAATGGCTTTTAAGTCTGGCACATTAACCCACAGTCATCCTCAAATGTAGCTATTAAGTGGTTTATATTATTTCTGAACGCTGAGATAAGATTAATAGAATAGTTGTCCTTTAGGAGTTTTAATGTTACCATAGCGTAGTGGTTATGAATCGGGCTGTGAGCTTTAAGGTCAGCAGTTCAAAACTACCAGCTGTTCCGCAGGAGAAAGATGAGGCTTTCTGCTCCTGTAAAGATTTACAGCCTCGGAAACCCTGTACAGGGTCGCTATGAGTCGGAACCGACTCCACGGCACATCACCACCACCACCAACAACAACAATGTATTAATCTTCTCATCTAGCTTCTGAAGGTTTATCGAGTAACTTTTACAACAGCTATCTGTTGGAGCATTATCATGACTTGGGCTAGCCGCAGGGCTGTACTGGGCATCATTATGACAGAAGTTTAGTCTTGTAGTCTTTAAATTCTGCCAAAGCACTGGTTTTTCATGAAATATTTAGGGGATACGTTCTTATGTTCTTAAAATTAATTACATTTTTCCACAAAAAACATTTTATATGTCATACAGGGCTTCTTTTTTTTTTTTTTTTTTTTTTTCCATTAAAATTTCATCTATTTAGCACCAGCACCTGCAGGAGAAGCTACAATTCTAGATGACTTCCTTGAAGAATCCTCCAAACTGCAGTCTGAGTCACAAGAACAAACTCAGGAGCCAGTTTCTAGCCCAAAACCATCCACCATGTTTCTCAAGGACATACCAGCGAAGAAAGGTGATTGGGAATGAAGACTTCCTCTTAGCAGGAGGCCAGTCATAAACAAGTTAGATGATGTTGAAACTCGGGATCACCAAAGAGGCAGCCTGATCTGTTGGGAGTTGACTGGTTTTTCTGCCACATTGTGTTGTTGTTGTTATGTGCCATCAAGTTGGTTCCGACTCACAGCAACCCTGTATAGCATTTCTGAAGAGCAGCTGGTGAGCTTGAACTGCTGACTTTGCAGTTCAAACCAACTTTGCAGTTCATTGCATTAGCCCACAGTGCCACATATAGATTCCTTCGTTTTAGGCTAGGCTCTGAATTTCAAACTCAGGATGGAATATTTTCAACAAACAAGGATTTTTATTTAGCTCCCAGAGTAGCTAACTAAGGATCTACGATTTACTAACAATGATTCTAATTTTTAGAATATCTACAAATTGTTTCAAGGAGCCCTAGTCACATAGTGGTTACAATTTGGGCTGCTAACTGAAAGGTCATCAGTTGAAACTACCAGTTGTTCCGCAGGAGAAAGATGAGGCTTTCTGCTCCTGTAAAGGTTTATAGCCTTGGAAACACTATACAGGGTCGCTGTGAGTTGGAACCGACTCCACGGCACATAACCACAAATTGTTTCACATTCAGGGACATTCGAATACTCTTAAATTCACCCCTTTTCGTTGTTCGTGATTTGCATGTGGAACCACCAGTAAATTTACTTTGGAGAATTTCTGAGAGCATCTCTTTGAGGGGAGTCCTGGCATGGTGCTGTGGGTTAATGCACAGGACTGCAAAGTCAGTTTGAACCGCAACTTCGGTGGTTCAAGCTCACCAGCTGCTCCTTGGTGAAGACTTTTGTTCCAGAGACGAATCTACTGCTTTCCCAGCTATTATCTCATTTATGTAGCAGAGAACACTCTTCCTGCATCATAAATGTGTCTGTGCTTTTGACATGGTTACTCTTTGTGCTAATCTTCTGTCTTTCTAATGTAATATTTTCAGAAACATCAAAATGGCCAGCTTCAGCAGCTGCTCTGCATCCCACCCCTAATTATTGCGTTTCCCAAACTCCTGCCACCATCTTCATGGAGACCATACACTTCTTGATGAAGGTCAATGCTGTGCAGGTCAGGATATTTTGAAAAAGAGCAAGTAGATGGAAAAGACTGTAGTAATTTACTGAAACCAACAAGCCCAATCCACTGTCATCCTATCAATTCTGACTCAACACAGGGAGGGTGTATGAGACTGACTAATAGATGCATACCTTTATGGGAGCAGACAGCCTCATCTTTCTCTTGGTGGATTTAAACCACCGACCTTGCAGATAGCAGCCCAGTGCCTAACCCATGTTGCCACCAGGGCTCCTTATATTATCTATAATGGTATTTTTGACCAGAAATCAAATATGCTTTTAAAAGCATACCTTAAGCCCAATAGAAAGAGCATCTGAATGTGACCCACTGCCTGCACATGACGTCTGAAGACCCTACTATCCATTTGCTCCTTGTAGAATACCAACAGAGCAAAACCAGACTTTTAAGTCTTGTATCACATGTTGTCACTCATGTTATATGAGTGTTGAGGGTTTCCTAGGACCCGAATCATACTCTTCCTCCCTGCTAGGTTGTAAACCAATTGGAAAGAGATGCACAATTCTACATTGGGTAGGTGGGTGGGGCTTCAACATATCAAATTTTTATTGGTAAACTAGACTAGAGAATGTGACTGGTCCTCCATTTGATTGGCTTATCCAGCCACACACCAGAGAAGGACATCCTGTAAGGTCAGTATGCCACTTGGGAAGCAAGAAGTGCATGTATGGAGCAAGCAGAAGGAGATGGAGCAAGATCCAGGAGACAAAGGACTTGGCGATGACCTTACATGCTCCACGGGAGGCCAATCAGGCTCAAGAAAGGACAAGAATTAGGAACTGGCTGGGGTGTGGGGGGCACATGAAGCATGTTCCTTTTTGATTCTAACTTGTAGTGATCCTGTAGGACACAGTGGGACTTTCTGCAGGGTTTCCAATGCCGTTATCTACAGAGGCATGCTGGTAGTGCTATAGAACAAGTTGGCGGTTCACACCTGTCAGCCTTTTCCTGGGACAAAGACAAGGCTTTCTGCTCCTGCAAAGATTTACAGCCTTGGAAACTCTATCCAGGGTCACTGTGAGTCAGAACTGACTTCACAACATGTAACAACAACAACATAATTTATTATTAGAGGTTAAAATCTTTAGCATGTTCCTTGTAATCTGATTTTTTTTTTTTTCTTCAGTATGTGCACAGAGTCCTTGCACATGAGCTGTTATGCCCTCAAGGTGGCCCCAGCTGTGAGTATTACCTGGTGCTGGCCCAAACACACCTTCTAAAGAAAGACTTTGCCAAGGCAGAAGAATGCCTTCAACAAGCAGCCCAAATGGACTACCTGGTAATGACTTTTGCCAGAACCTCTCAAGTTTGGAGAAAGGGTAGACCAGCTTTAGTAAAGATGATGATGCTGCGTCACAGGTAGATTTCTGGTGATCAGAGGTGAGGGTCACCAGCTGTCAGTGAAGTCATCTACCTACTCCCTCTTGTTTGTTTTTCTCAAGCAATCATGCATGTTGCAGAAGGCCAAGAAAATGATCAAGGCAGCTCTTCAGCAGCTGCTGTCTCTCTATACTTTTTCTGAGCTTCTGTTTTCCCATTGTGAACACTATCATGGCTATGCTTGAATGTTGTTCTTAATATTTACCCAAATTAAAAATGGCACTGAAGAATTCAAGAAAGAAATGGGGATGCAGAGCTAGAAAAATATCTGCCAGTGCAACTGAATGGTCCTCTTTCTAATCAAGTGCTATTAGAAAAAGAGAACAGACATAATCTAAATGTCAATGTTAGACAAAGACCATGAAGGTATTTTTAACACAACCTTAATCATTACTATTTGTTCTTCACTTTCTCAGAACCCGAATGTCTGGGGTATTAAGGGCCATCTCTATTTTCTGAGTGAAAATCATTCTGAGGCCAAAGCATGCTATGAGCGAACCATTAGTTTTGTAGCGGACGCTTCTGAGATGCACTTCATCTTCCTGCGACTGGGCCTCATCTATCTGGAGGAGAAAGAGGTGAGGGACAGAAGATAGGGAATGAACACTCAAATCAAGCCACGATCAGGGGGCTACTTATGTTCAAGCATTAACATCCACTTGTGTGGGCTAAAAATATTAATATGATAATGACACTTTTTTATCCAGAGGCAAAATATTTAACCCACCATCAGATAACTAGTGATTGGCGATACTAGTATTCATACCTGGGCAATCTACTGCTGGAGTCTGTGGTCTTAACCTTTATGCTATTTAGACGGTATGAAGAATTCTCAAAGACCTTAGCTTTGAGAACCTTAAGGAGACTCTACATACATGGGGTCTCCACGAGTCAGAATCAACTCAACAGTAACTAGCAATAACATTGTTGTTAAGTGCCGTCGAGTCGGTTCCGACCCATAGCGACCCTGTACAGGGTTTCCGAGGGTGTAAATCTTTACGGGAGTAGAAAGCCTCATCTTTCTCCCGCGGAGCAGCTGGTAGTTTTGAACCGCTGACCTTAAGGTTCGCAGCCCGATTCGTAACCACTACGCTACCAGAGCTCCTTAGCAATAACATTAGTAGTAGAAATAGTCTAGACAGTTTCATAGACTTCAAAGGGACGTCTCCAAGCTTCTTCCCTAATACATAAGGCTTGAGAGCAATCTCTAATAAAGGAGACATTTTCTTTGTGATATCATTGCCAGATGCAATTTCACAGTCAGTAGGCAAGTGGCTCTTAGGCTACTTACTGAGGCTCAGCTAAGATCCAGGGAACCCAGGCAAAAAGTGGTCTTTTCAGTCAGCTATTGACTACAACTACTTTTGAAGCTGCTTTTGTTGTGGTTTTGAGTTTCTCTGTTTCCTGTACTACTGAGACTTCATAAGACTTTGAACGATGAGGCTATGGCAATTCACCCACTTTTATTAGTCATGGGGTTCTGTGTATCTGCCATGCAGATACCCCACTACTTGATGTCACTCTTAAATGAAAGGGTTTAGGTACAATGCAGAAAAGTATTGGGGTCACCCAGAACTTTCAGAGCAACTCTTTGCCTCAACTCTTACAGAGTTTTTGGCACAGTTTACAGGTTAAAGTTAGCCCTTTGGATGGATGGTTGGTCCATCCATCTCCTCTTACAAGTCTCCTTGAGGTACTTAGAGTAGACATACAGATACAATCCATGGACTCATTTGACGTGGATTGTTCTGGAGTGTAGCTATCAGAGGCCCCAGGATTACCCCAGCAGTGCAGTGTTTGTGCTTTCCAGAACAATAACTTAGTGGTGCCACTTTCTTTCTGTAGTATGAAAAGGCAAAGAAAACCTACCTGCAAGCTTGCAAGAGATCGCCGTCATGTCTTACCTGGTTAGGACTGGGAATCTCCTGTTATCGGGTAAGAGGTTGAAGCCTTGAAGCTAGGCCTGTGCCTAGCTAACTGTGGTGTCTTTGCCTTCCAAGCACCTGGGGGAGGGGTGGGCAAGGCTTGTGGTGATGGGGGATGGTTATCAGGGATCTCTTCTCTACTGAAAAGTTCTCTTCAAAATTAGTTAGTGAACCAATGTGAATTAGAAAAATAACCCTGAAAAAAATCCCACAAAATCCAGAACCAGGAAGTTATATAATAAGACTTGTTATTTGGTACAAAACTTATTTTATGGTGTTATTTGCAAGAAACAAAGTGATATAGAAGATGATTGATCTAGTTAAATTAATGTGTTGATTACTTACTAAGCACTGTGGGCTATTTATATTCAAGAGGAGCTTTTGTAGCTTCGCATGGGCCAAAATGTTGTCCCATCAGACCTATAGCGTAGTGGTTATTAGTCCGGCTACTAACCTCAAGGTCGGCAGTTCGAAACTACCAGCTGTTCCACGGGAGAAAAATGAGGCTCTCTACTCCCATAAAGATTTACAACCCCGGAAACCCTGTGCAAGGTCACTATGTGTCCGACCGACTCCATGACACATAACAACAACAACAACATCAGACCTAAACAACCTCTACAAGCTTTCCCCCTTCTCCTCCCGTCTTGCACTGAGGCATGCATTCTGCTGTTCTTGTTTCATTTAGTCACATGGGTCGCTATGGGTCGGAACCGACTCGACAGCACTTAACAACAACAACAACAATTCTCGATACCATCCTTCCCCCTTTCTCCTAGTACCTCACTCCCTTAGTTTTTCTTTTCTCCTTGTTTTACATTTTTAATCTCTCATTCTCAACCAGCTCTTTCTCCACAGTTTTTTCTGATCTTAACTGAATTACCATCATCACCACCACCATCCTGGTTCCTACTCTTAACAAAAGAGTTGTCAGCATTTCGTGTCTCCCGAGCTCTGGTAGCGTAGTGGTTACGAATCGGGCTGTGTACCTTAAGGTCAGCAGTTCGAAACTACCAGCTGTTCCGTGGGTGAAAGATGAGGCTTTCTGCTCCCTTAAAGATTTACAGCCTTGGAAACCCTGTACAGGGTCACTATGAGTCGGAATTGAGTTGATGGCACTTAACAACAATAACAGCCTCTTCACTGCTGGCGTTTTTTAATCATGAAGATAATACCTGTTCATTACAGAAAATTGAGACTATAGAAAAGAATATGAAGAGAACATAAATGTATCCATAACCCCACCACTCAGTTATAACCACTATTAACGTATGAACATTGATTCCATATCTGTTTTGCATATATTTTTAATGTCGAAAATTAAAAATAATGTACTTTACTGCTTTTCATTATTGTTCCTCCTTAACAATATCATGTTGGTCTCTTATTATATTAGCAAATATTCTAAAACATGAGTTTTAATGGATTCATGATGTTCCAAGGTTTGGATGCATAAGTAGAATGACCGTGTTATTTATTGTCTAAACCACAATACTTCTGAGGATACCCCAGGTCAACCAGGAATATGATCACCTATATATAAGCTGTAAATTCCCACCTTCCAGCAGAAGATGAAAAAAACATTAGTAGCTATTAGAAACCCGATAGCAATGTCAAAGGTACAAGAAATCAATCATACAACCCATTCAGTGGAAGCTATGTTTCTATTTGTTTTGAGTAGTGTAAAAAGTGCATAGACATTATTAAGTTAGAAGCAAAAATTAAAAAGAAAACAAACTTCACTTGAGCCCTATCACTAAGATGTCCAAGTAATTCTGTCTCCCTCTCCCTCCCCCAACCCCAGTCAATGTTTTAGTTTTGCTGAGATGTTGTAGGATAAATACTGGACAAGAAAGTGAGGCGGCATAGGAGGCACTCACTCATCTCTGCCAAGATTTGGTAGACAACTATCTGGCCGACTGATTGGAAGAGATCCATATTTGCGTGCATTCCAAAGAGAGGTGACCCAATGGAATGAGGAAATCATCAGACAATCTCTTTGATATCCCATGTGAGTAAAGTTTTACTAAAGGTAATACAGAAACAGCTGCAAGCATACATTGACAGAGAACTTCCAGAGGTTCAAGCCAGATTCAGAAGAGGCCGTGGAACGAGGGATATCATTGCTGATGTCTGATGGATCTTGGCAGAAAGCAGAGACTATCAGAAAGGCTTTTGATTGTTTGGATCATGACAAGCTATGGACAACATTGCGAAGTATGAGTATTCCAGAATACTTAATTGTGCTTATGAGGAATCTGTACATGGACCAAGAGGCAGTTGTTTGAACAGAACATGGGAACACTGAGTAGTTTAAAATGAAGAAAGCTGTGCAACAGGGTTGTATTCTTTCACCATACTTATTCAGCCCATATGCTGAGCAAATAAGCTGAGTTATATGAAGAAAAATGAGGTATCAGGATTTGAGGAAGACTCATTAACAACCTGCGATATGCAGATGATACAACCTTGCTTGCTGAAAGTGAAGAGAACTTAAATATTTACTGATGAAGATCAAAGATCACAGCCTTTGGTATGGACTGCATCTTAATGTAAAGAAAACAAAATCCTCACCACTGGACCAAAAAACAACATTCTGATCAGTGGAGAAAAGATTGAAGTTGTCAAGGACTTCATTTTTCTTGCATCAACCATCAACACTCATGGAAGCAGCAGTCAGGAAATCAAATGACGTATTGCATTAGGCAAATCTCCTGCACAAGACATTTTTAAAGTGTTGAAGAGCAAAAATGTCAGCTTGAGGAATAAGGTGTGCCTGACTCAAGCCATGGTATTTTCAGTAACCTCATATGTATCCCAAACTTCTCAGTGAATAAGGAAGATCGTAGAAGAATTGATGCTTTTGAGTTATGGTGTTGGAGTAGAATATTGAAAGTACCATGGGCTGCCAAAAGAACCAACAGATCTGTGTTGGAAGAAGTGCAGCCAGAGTGCTCCTTGGAGGCCAGGATGTCCAGACTTCATTTCTCATACTTTGGACATATTGTCAGGAGGGGCCAGTCTCTGGAGAGGGATATCATGTTTGGTAAGGTGGAGGGTCAGAGAAAAAGAGGAAGCCCCTCAGCAAGATGAATTGACAAAGTGACAGTTTCAATGGGCTCAAGTGTGGCAACAATTGTGAGGTTGGCCCAGGAGCAGGCAGTGTTTCGTTTCATTGTACATAGGGTCGCTATGAGTTGGTCCAACCCGATGGCACCTAACAACAACAACCCTTGGTGCAGTCTCACATTCCCTATACCTTCTGCTATATTGTATTGTCTTAGTGATTGGAAGTATGAGCAACTGAGTCAGTCAAGATAGAAACCAAAAAGTCAGGCAAGTCTACTTCCCCACAACTTTTGAATTGTGGTCAGATATCCTATTGATTTTATCCCCAACATGTCTCTTGAATCTGTTGGCTCCTCTGCATCTTTACTTTCATTACGCTTGTCCAATCCGCATTCCCTCCTGTAAAAGCCCCACTGCCATCAAGTCAATTCCGACTCTTAGAAACCCCACATAGGTTTCCTGAGGCTGTAAATCGTGGATCCTCATCAGTATTTGAAGTCCTTTTTGCTCTCAGCAAGCTAAGTTGTATCATCTGCCTATAGCAGGTTGTTAATGAGTCTCCCTCCTATCCTGATGCCACATTTTGATTCCTATAATCCAACTTCTAATGTAATTTGCTCAGCATATAGCTTGAATAAGTATGGTGAAAGAATACAACTCTGGCACACACCTTTCCTAATTTTAAGCCATTCAGGTTCCCTTGTTCTGTTCGAACAACTGTATAGGCTCCTTGTGAGTACAGTTGTGTTCTGGAATACTCATACTTTGCAATGTTGTCCGTAGAGTGTAATGATACAATCGAAAGCCTTTGCATAATCAATAAAGCACAGGTAAACATTTCTCTGATATTCTCTGCTTTCAGCCAAGATCCATCTGATGTCAGTCATCAATGATATCCCTTGTTCCACAGCCTTGTCTGAATCCATCTTGAATCCCTGGCATTTCCCTATCAATGTACGGTTGTAGCCATTTTTGAATTATCTTTAGCAAAATGTTATTTGCTTGTGATATTGTGTGATGAGTCCATTAGATCACCTCTCTTTGGAATGGTCACAAATATGAATCTCTTCCATATTTCCAAGCAGTTGGAAATTTCTTGGCATAGATAACTAAGTGCATCCTGTGCTGCATTAGTTTGTTGAAAGATTTGAATTTGTACATCAATTCCTGGAGCCTTGTTCTTTGCCATTGCCTTCAGTGCACCTTGAACTTCTTCCTTCAGTATCATTGGCTCTTTTTTTTTTAAGTTTTAATTGTAAATTGAATGAAAGTTTATGGGGCAGATCATCGGTTTTACACTCAACAAATCATATACTTTGTTTCATTACAATGGTTATAATCCCCACCATGTACCATCAGTTAACAGTATTACAGTATTTCTTCTCTCTATTCGTTTTAGCTCTCTCTCTTTTTTTTTTTTTTTTAAAACTCAGGAATATATGATGATTTACACCACCAAAAGGCACATTCTACAAGTCTATGCCACTAGCTCTCAGTCTCTGTCTTTCCATGAATCTAGCAGAGTCCTCAGCAGCTCCCTCTCTCTATGTCCCCATCTCTGCCTCCATCTCTTGTGTCACTACTTCTTTGGATAGCGTCCTGCATTCCGCTTGTGCTCTTCTCCCTTGATGGTCCTAGCGCCTCTGTTTCTGGACTGTAAGATTAACCACTCCCCTATTTTTGTTACAAAACTTATACCTTTACAGTTGTGACAGTCACAATTAGTCATGATAACAGTTACTCACTATTGAATCATAAGAATCTTGTCCCCATCTCTTTTCACCAGACCTATCTAGACAAGATGAAATCTAATCAGTGGGGACTCTTTCTTTCCCCCCATACTCTTAAACTCCCTCTTGAAACCTTGTAAGCCAGTCACTTGGTGCCTTTATCACCCTCTCATTTTAGGTAGCCAATGTCTAAGTTGCCTGTCCCTGTCTA